GTTGATCAGCGCCCCAAACAATATGAGCTTTTTGCAAGTATTTATTTGGATACCAGTGGCAGTGTGTCTGGGTCCACACTACCATCTTGGTGTGATTCGAGGCCGACCTAAAACCTCTTCCGTTTTCGGGTACGGCACCCAGTTACTTGTGTAACTTCTTTTTTCGAACTGAAAATTCAGTTCTTCCAGCATTTAGGTTTAAACCACAGCCACCACGATACTCCCCAAAGGGCCGAACCCAATGAGCAGATTGAACAGAAGTCCAAGGGCTTTCTGCTCCCCGTGGTACCGGAAAGTCTCCGGTCAGACTGCGTAGCCTAAACTACTGCCAGTTGAGCTCCCCATTACTCAAATGACTGGTGACATTTGTCGCTTGAACTTCAAATGTCTTTTTATTCGCTTTTTTCATTTAAAGTGTTTCTAATATCAGTTCAAGCTGAGTATTATAGCACTATCACTCCACATACTATGCTGATATTACTGTGCAAAGAATATAATAACAGTCATAGTGCATATTGGCTTTTAGTCGCCTTTTACGACAGGCATGCCTTGCCGCGGGCATATTCTATCCCCTGCCCGCAGGGGTAGGATTAGGAGGTATGCTCGAGTTAGTGCTTCTCAGTCGTTTGGGTCCTGCCTCAATGCTGCTAGGGGACGCGAATTCAAAATGGCCTCCACTTCAGCTCGCGCAGCTTACGGACGGCGCCGCCGAAGTTGTTTACATTGTCGCTAAGTATCTGTGGCACCCCTCGGCGACAAATGAACTTTTTTAGGGCGAAAATAAAAGAATTAGTAGATAGTCCGAAACTAATTCTAAATGTACTGCTTTTGAAGTGAAGCAAACGAAAACTGCTATATATGTTTTAACGGGTGGTCGACCGCGTATTTTTAAAGTTGTATATAGCGCTCGAAGTATTTCGACTTCCCATTATTTGGGTTTGCAACTGCGGCTTGAAATGAAAGCAGTGTATACAGTTTTTTACGGCTCTACTTCATCCTTCTCTGGCATTAATCAGCCATATGCGTTCTCGAAGAAGTGTAACCAACGCTTTTGCCCCAACGTGGAACCGTAAATAAGTGATAACGAAATGTGAACTTTTATTAGGTAATAATGGAAATTTGGCATCGTATGGGAGAGGTGCATATAATAGGCGACCTTCTACTCGGATTAATTTAAATGAAAGCGAAATGTCCGAGTACTCATGCAAGAACGGGTTAAGTTTCCAAGTTCGCGGGTGGCGTGGTTTTGGATCTCATTCCATGTTGATCCACCTGAACAATTTTCAAAAAACTTAAGTGTACTTAGTGTAGGCATTTTTGGTCGTCTAATCCACCGTAATAAGTATGCGACAACACGAACCAATTTTTTATGAGGAGAGTTTTTTCGATAACGTCCATTGTTGCATTTTCTTTCACATTTGCAGTTAGCGTGAAAGTATTTTTCTTCTTCTCTAAAGCTTCCTCTTCTGAAGAGAGCTGGAAGTGAGTCTTAATTGGCCACAAAGCGGGGTCTTCTAAGCGAAACTGTGGACCCTCCAAACAATATCGAATTATGCAATTTATCCACGTTGCAACTCCGAGAAACTTGATTCGCAATGTACATTGTCAGTCAGTTCTTTAATTTCGGACACTCTATTTGCTACAAAAATTTGCAATGTGAATAGATGTGTTATAATCCAATACAACACGATTTCAGAGTCTGTCCAAAATGTAATTTTCTCGAATCGTCGAACCAAAATTGGGGCTATTCGCCATCATAATTTGGCAAGAAGATGTGCTGCCAAGAGCTCGAGACGGAGGAGACTTGGCCTTTAGCGGAGCCAGTATGCAGTAGACATTTGACACCACTAGCAGATTGGCTTCGTATGTACATATATGCAACATCCGTACGGTCTTATTGAAGCATCGGAGAAGCCATGTATTTGGCAGATAGCACTCGACTCTAGGTTTACGTACCGAGGAAAGCTAATAGATGAGCGCTACAATAGGTTGGCTTTAAAATTCTGTCAGCTAGTCTCAAGGCGCAATGGAATCGACTCATCCCAATCTAGTTTTTGGATCCAAAACTCTTGCAAAACGATTTTTGCTTTGGTGGCTAGAAGGCATAATAATCTAAGAGGATCGAAGAGGCGAGCGGAGACTGACAATATGTTTCGTTTAGTGGCTCGCAGATCATTAAAATTGGCATCCAAAACAAATCGAAACAAATCCTCTTTCGCAACCAATGGATTCCTAGTGTTTTAGTTGAGTTTTTGTCATTGAAGCTTAATGACTTTTCAGTGCAGTCACTGTCGAAAGCATAGATAAAATTATCCGAAACTCCTCTATTTGCTTTCTGAGAGAGCACATTAACTTTCAGTGCTGCCAAAGAAAACCACGAGTTCATGAGCTACTGAACAGATGACAAGCAAAACAATGAACTACCACTAAAATCCTGCAGAAATAAAATGCGAAATCAGTGGGTTATTTGTGAGATCAGCTTTTTTAGTGACTTTTAAGCATATTTCTAATCTTTATTAAAAGTGTTTTAATATAGCTTTGATTTTAAGAAAGAGTGTGTATTTTGTCGCAGAGTATTGTTTTGCTTAGCAGTACCAATTTTCAACGTATATACATATTTTGGCTAGAATTCCCAGCAAATGTTATGTAAACTTTGACTTCCGAATAAATTATCGAAAGATATTTGTTTATTCAGTATATAAAAATTAAGTAATGTTCATGTTTAGCTTTTTAAAACTTGAAAGTGTTTTGAAATATTAAAATATTTTGTTTAAATTAGTTTTAAAAGTTAATTTAGAAAATCTTTTGTGATTAAAATATACACGTGCATATATTTAGAAGTCATATAGGATATCTAGCTGGTTAAACTAATTTTAATTATGTATATTTTTCTGTAAAATGGAAACCGAAAGATACCCAAAAAATACATTTAAAAATCTCAAAACGTATTTCTTTCACTAGTGGCACCATTGTCAAATGTTATAAAAAATGTGGACTTTGACAGCGCTCTCTAAAATCAAAGAGTTTCGGATCATTTTATCCATGGTCGAAAGATTTAGGGTTGTTCAAATACCACTTTGTTAAGGTGAATCTAGCCGAGTTTAATATTTAATTTTTAATATTTATTATAAGATCTAGAGACTCAAAATTTTCTGATCCTGTTAATAAATCATCAACATAAAAGTGTCTTCTAATGGCCAATGAACCGAGTGGATACTTAGTTGTATTAGCATCGCTGAGCATTTGTAAACACTGTGTGGTGAGAAATAGTGCAGGCGCAGTGCTGTAAGTTGAAAATTTTGAATTTGCTCTGAGAGATGCTCTCTCCACACAATAAGCTGACAGTTTCTGTCTTCTTTATGCATATTCATTGGCGGTACATCTTAGTGATGTCTGCCGTTAAAGCGTACTTATGTAAGCGAAAACGAAGAAGAGTTGAGTACAATTCTTCTTTGGTTGATGTGCTCTCGGGCCTTAAAACGCATTGATGTAGTGTGGCTCACTCGGGATCTTATTGCTCATTAGGCTCATATGACCCTGTGCTCTGTTTTCATTCATGCAGTTCGGATACATTTTGCAAAGATCTGGATCTATAGTATTAACGAAAAAATTTTCACACTCTATTTGATCTGGTGTGAATTTGATGCCATTTGTTTCTGAAGGTAATTCTTTTAGAGCCCAAAAATTTTGAACTACCGAATTAATTGACGTTAAGTCTTCTTCAGCTTGGCATAATGTGCTATTTACTTCGGGAGGAGGACTTACACTGGAACTGTCAATTTAATATTGTGCATAGTTTTCCAGCCATTAACATTGATGTTATGCTCTGGATGATTTGCCGAGAAACATCGCATCATCCAGAATTCCGTCGAAAATTCGAAACTATTTACCGGGGACTTAACAAACGCGCTTAATTATTTTCCCGACTTTCGTGTGGAATTTCCAATTCCTATAATATGAAACGTCCTGTTTAGACGTCGAATACGCAATTTTGGGCTAAATACTCCGTCATAAAGTTAACTTGGGAGCCTGTATTCTCCATAACTGGTCCTCACTTGAATAACTGCTGTCGCTAACACTACCAGATCCGGCATACTCGCTGTATGCATAGTATAGGATGGTTGCGGATGAGCTGCAGCGGGGAAGGAAACCGGCAACAACGTGTGATGGGACTGATTAAATACACGACATCGATCCGCTCTGCCCTTAGGCACCGATTTCAAAAACTCGAAACTCTGTAGTACCGCAAGCGCCTTGAAAGTGGGGCAGGCAGTTAAATGGTGCTCCTTCGACTGGCACTGTTGGCTCGTTGGCTGCTTGATATTTGTAGCACTAGGCTATCAAACATTTATTATCGTAAACCTTTTTGAGACTTGCCAATGCCTTCGGATAATATTCATCCGACATTTCAAATGCTTTTACTGTTCCCAGAGCCTCTCCAGACAAACAATTAACCAAACGGTTAAATTTTTCAATATCTAGGATATTTAGATCATAATGAACCAAACTCTCAAACAAACTCATGAAATTTTTAAATTCCCAATATTCTACCTTGAATTTCGGCAAATTCATTTTTGGGAGTCTCAAGTTGTGAGAGAGAAAAAAAGATATCAATTCGCAATTACCTGAATAGCCAAACGAAAGAAATAAACTCAAAATGAGCAACAGCACAATTGTAAAAATTTAAAGCGAAAGAATTTTATTCATGAATTAAATTTGCGAAAAACCGACATAATCTGCGAAAAACTGACCGATTTAAAAATTTTAAATTATTATATAGTAAATGAAAATGCTACCGCAATCCCAGAATCCCTTCACATTCTCTTCAATACAGTATATACATATATGATATATAATATGTATATAGAAATATATTATTTAAACAGGAATTTTATGTGAAAAAAGGCCTGCCAAAAACTGAAAGCGTGCGTTTAATTTGTTTTACTTTTATTATTATTACTTTTTTTTTTGACCAACTTTCAATAATTCGCATTCGTTACCTGGTGCGTCGGCTGTTTGCCGGCGTGTACGTCCCTTTGGCACATGATGCAGCGGCAGCTCATCCCCACGACGGTTTAAACAGCAGCGAATGTGATAGCAGCAGCGACGTGATGGCAGCATAAGAGTGATGGCAGCAGCGGCGTGATAGCATCAGCGATGTTAGGGTGGACGTGAAAGTAAAGCCGCCATGTTAGGTCTAAGAAGATCAAATAATCCACTAACATTACAATGGTATGGCGAAGGCCAAAGTAAAGAAAAATGTTAGATCAGTAATTATTAAGGGTAGCTCTGCGGAGTTTTGTGTTTAGTAATTTGCTGTCATTGTCGATAACTAGCTGACGAACGCCAACCAGTAATTTTACATGGCCTAGATAATAGTTTTTTGGGAATTGCCACTGCCACTGGGTCGCTTACGGAACATTAAATCTTAATATTAGATGGCTACCTTATTGCTTAAATGACTCCCCCCTCCAAATACACCGCTCCAACCGGTTAAATAATTACACTCCCTAATACAACACACCATGCCTTGGAACACAACTCACACTCACGGCCACACTACACAGGATGTCACCACATAATCAACAATAAAAAAGGGATTGGATCTCCAATTCATTTCATTCGTTTTAACACATCGATACGACAACGATCAAGTGCGCTACAATTCGTTTCGTCAGCGATCCTGTAACCGTCAACTACCATAATTTCTTCGACATCAATTCTACACGGCTATCTTTATTAAATACTGATATATATGATATATATATATAATAAGTGTTAAAATTAAAATGTTTTGTAAAAACAAATATATTACCAATTATTTCATATCACAAAGAGATCTACTTTTCGTTTATAACATTAACCGCGAGTGTAACTGCCACATCAAAACATTACAGTGGTATGCGCTTACCTATTTAATCATCGTCATTCGTGCCCCAGTAACCGCATTATGGGCTATTAACAAAAAAAAAAAAAAAACTATTAAAATAATAAAGTGCGGTGCCAAAACGAAAACAAAAAAAGAAAAACAAAAACTAAACAAAACAATTTGAACAAAAACAAAATAACCAAAAAGGTGCGGTGACATTTATTTAAAAAAAAAAAATCAAATGTGAACATAAGCGAAGTGCAATAAGTAGTATATGTATGTATACATGTATAAATGTATTCGTACATATACATTCGTACATATACATATAATATAAAAAAAGAAACGGCCAAACATATTATATGTGCTACAAAAACAAACGGGCGCGAAACCAAAAAACAAAAAGACCAAAACGGGCGCGAAACCCAAAAATATATAAAAAAAACATACATATATTCTTCCCAAAAACCCCTTGAGGCGAGACAAAGTAAGTGCATAGTTTTCATTTTTTATTAATTAAATATGGATGTTTGTTCATCCTGTATTTTGTTAAAACTAGGAAAATCCGTTTTAACAAGTTGAAAAAACGGGTACAGGAAACGTTAACGGAAAATATAAAGCAAAAAAACAAAGGAACTCAAAATTTAAGTACAATAATATATACTTATATTTTTCCAAACGTTAATAGCAAATTCCAAAAAACCGATATTTAAAAGAAAATCGGATGAATATACTTATATACATACACATATGTATACTTATATAATTCTTATATTTACATATATATGTATATATATTATATTATATTACCAAATTATTGCTTGCCTTGACATCTGCGCTTACATTTGTGGATATAGGTATATACAAGGCACAATAACAAGTAAAGCTAGAACCTACAGCAAAAAGACAAAATATTATACAAACATACATATACATATATACATTCAATTAGCAAACAATATGCGAATTGCATTTTCCAATATATCTTATAACTAAACATTCATTTATATAATTACATATATACTTATATCCGAATATATTACCAGTCGCTAAAATACCTGCGTATTATAACTTTTTTCACACTGTTCTCTCACACCATGAATAATGTTTTCACTTGCACTCACTGTTTAAATACGTTTATTAAAAAAATGAACAGATCTACCTGACAATTTTAAATCCTCGGCTTACGCCAAGTACGAAAACTGCTTAGACCAGTACGAAGAAACAAAAGCTATGATTTCGGATCAATTAAAATTTATTAAGACAATTGCATCTACTCCACATCCGAGAGTAGAGGCCACCCATACAAAATCAAGAGGCAAGTTCAGGCATCCATCTCAAGGTGCATGCATGTGACACAGAAACTTTTCATGGTGGTAATGAACAATGGCCGTCCTTCCGGGACATGTTTACAGCCGTTTACATAAACCACCCAAAACTCTCAAATTCTCAAAAATTGTATTACCTCCGATACAAAACAAAAGGTCAACAGTATAAACAAACGTCAAATTCAAAAAATTAAATTTTGTCGATAGGAATAATTTAGTGAAAACAACAAAAAAAACGTTGCACAAACTGTTTGTCACGTGCGCATACTCCAAAAGAGTGTGAAAGCAAATTCAATTGCGTATATTGCCACAAAAGACATCATTCAATGTTACATATCACACATTTTTCCAGCTCACCACAAAATAATGTTAAAAGGGCTGCGGGATTAATTGCAATAGCAAATCCTGAAATCGCCAAGAAGCACCTTGCTGCTCAAAGGCATTTAAAACGCTACACATCGAAAACCAAAGTAGGGTACAGCAGTCGTCTCCATCGAACACCGAGAAGAAGTGTTTAATCTTAGGGCCTTAAGGATAACAACGATCATTTATAGCGTCCAGGGCACAAAATAGGCTACAACTGCCACAAAACTAGCCAATTTTGAAATCACGGAAATGGGCGGAAGACTAGTTTAAAACTCAAACAAAATCTGCCCCATTACCCTAACTTCCCCCAAAGCGGATAACGCAACCAACAAACATGCTTCCAAGCTATCGCATAAATAGCTAGCATTGGCAAAGGGTTTCATACGTAAAGCTAGCAGATCCCAACTGCAACACTCCCGTTCAAATAGATTTTCTATTAGGCAGCGATCTCATACCACAGATACTACTCGAAGACATTGAGAAAATTTCAAACACACAATTGGCACAAAATACTATTTTGCGTTGGAACCTAAGTGGACCATGACCACTCAAGTTGAGAAAATCTCTAATTTGGGAGTTAGAAGAGCTCCCCCCATATCAATCACAACTCCTGAAGATCAGTATTGTGAAGATTTTTACAAAGCCACAACTACTAGATCAGATAATGGTCGGTATGTCGTACGACTACCACTAGATAGGTAAAGTGGCTGTCTTTCGACCCACCTAGGCCTTTAGGAGGCCCATTGTGATACCACCGGGACTGTGGTTCCCTCACTCTATTGGCTCTTCTCTGAACCACCCCATACTTCTGATGAACTTCATCGGTGAGACAAGTTTTATCCGTTCAACCTCCGAGACGTCGTCAAGAAACCCACGACCGATGGCTGCGATTCTTTTCCTATATAGTGCTGCGCAGTCGCATAGAAGATGTTTCATGGTCTCCTCCTTTTCTATTTCCTGACTGAATTTTAACAGTCGGCATGTGCGGCTCATATTCCATTCATGCTACGTTTGCCTGCTTGTTGAGCAAGTCAGGGACTGATTCCACTGACGCTCTGCTATGTTAATGACATGTTTGTCGATTAAGTATCTACAAGTAGCCAGAGGCATATTTATGTCCTCTTTACCAGGATCTAGTTGTAGGGTGGTGCCTGTTCTGGCTAGTTCATCTCCCGGGGATGTCACTGAGTCCCGGGAACCATTGCAGGTTTACCGTGAAATAGGATGTCAGATCCGCTAGAAGATCATAGCATTATTTCACTGTTTTCGACAAAATCCTATGAGACATCAGAGATTTCAAAGCCGCCTGGATGTCTGTATATATAGATATATTCCTTATTGTGAGCACACTTCTTGTCAATACAAGAAGGCTTTCTTTAATTGCGGTGACCTCCTCTTGGAAGACACTGCAGTGGTCTGATAACCGGAAGGCGATTTTGGCATCTAGTTTAGCTGAGAAGACCCCGCCGCCTACTCGGTTATCTAGTTTGGAACCATCTGTATAGAAGATTATCCCTGCTTCCTTCCCACTACGCCCCTTTCCCACTCCTCTCTGGAGGGGAAGGCAATCTTGGGGACCGGATTTAGATTCAGCTCTGGAGGATTGGGAAAATCTGTGGTTAAGGGAAAAAACGGGAAGTTCCTAAGTATCATAGAATGTCCCTTGTTACTAGCGATTATTAGGGAGGATTCCCTCAGTTTCAGAGCTGACTTCGCTGCCATTTGCTTGCAAAACAGATCTGTTGGCAGTAAGTGTAAAATTACGTTGAGTGCCTGTCTGAGAGCTCCACCGATGCAAATACTGGCTGCTCTTTGTATACTTTCCATACGCCTCACCGCGTATTTCTTATCCATTATTGGCCATCATACCATACTTTCCATGCTTCTAATCGCATATTTCTTTCCTGTAATTGGCCACCATAGTAATATACCGTAAGTCATGATCGGCCTTACAATTGCTGTGTAGAGCCAGTAGGCTACCCGAGGCGTCAGTCCCTATCTGGGCCCCACCATACTTTTACACGTGTAAAGCGCTGTAGCTGCTTTCTTTACCTTCGCTTCCAAGTTTTGTTTTCAAGGAAGCTTCCTGTCCAAAATTAGTCCCAAGTAGTTTGCTTTATCTCCTATCGTTAGTCTGGTGCCATTTAAAGATGGCGGCATGATTTCTGGAGTATTATGTTTCTTAGTGAACAATACTAGTTCTGTCTTGCTAGCATTTAAATTCAGTCCGCATGATACGGCCCATCGATTAATATCGTTTAATATTATCTGTTGAATTGCATTGAAACTGCCACATCATCCATGTGAGTATCCATTAGTAGGCCTAGAGTCTCTTCACTAGATACCGTCCAGCTGTGGTTTGGCTTCTGAAGGTATCCGATGCTATGTTTCGACTGTGTCATTATTTTTCTGAGTCGAGACGCTTCTGCCGTATTCTCGATGTCATTACAAAAAGATTTCCACAAATTTCTTTTTGCCTTCCTTTTTATATGACCGTAGGAGGTTGTAATAGTTATCCTACTCTTCTTCTCTGTGGGATAATTTGGCAAAATTGAATTGCTTCCTACAATCTTTCTGCATCTTCTTAAGTATGGAAGACCACCAAGGGGGCCTAATTCTTCCCCTACTGTTGGTTAATGGACAAGCCACCTCTAGTGCTTGACGACAAGAATCTGTGAACTGTTTAACGAGGATGTCTAAGTCCTCTTTGTTCTCTGGTTGAAATGGTGGAATCATAGGAATACGCTTTTTTAGGTCCTGTAGATGCATCTGCCAGCCACCTCCAGTGCATGTTAACAAGAATTTGAGAACTGTTTAACGAGGGTGTATAGGTCCTCTTTTTTTAGCTCCTGCCAGTTAAATTTCTCTTCCCTAACTACATT